TGGAAAAGACCTTGATGTTGGGAAAGTGTGAAGGCAAGAGAAGGGGACGAGATGGTTGGACAGTGTCATCAAAGCTACCAACATGACTTTGACCAAACTCCCGGAGGCAGTGGAAGACAGGAGGGCCTGGCGTGCTCTGGTCCATGGGGTCACGAAGAGTTGGACACAGTTTAACAACAACATAATTGCACTTAACAAGGAACTTAAGAATCACCAGCAGTAAGTTGTTGGACTGTATTACTATTACATGATCTGTTGTGTTGTATGTTGTATGGATACTATGAGTTTTAGGGAGGGTTCTGGGATTCAGGGATTATTATGAGGGTGTGTGTGTGTTTGGCTTGATCTCTGAATGTTCTTTGTGAATTTCGTTGTATGCATATACCATGTATATAACATTCAACGACAATAAATTGAAATTATGCAAGGGGCTGGCTGTGTCTGTTTCTCAGCAGCAATACAAAGGCACACACCACACATGTGGCCACTTAGAGAGGCGGCCTTCTAAATTTCCTGCCCCAATATTGAGTCAACGTGTTAACACGAACCCCACGGATGCAATGGGGCAACCCTCGCAGGCACTTGGAACTGCCTCCAAGAACCACCGGGGCGCAGGAGTGTCTTCGTCCTCTATGCTCCAGGCTAGAGTTCTAATTCAGCAAGGGATCCAGTTGATTAAAGGAGGTGTGAAGGTGAGCACCTGAATAAAAGTGTTGGGGCCAAAGGTTGTTCGGGGGGGGGGTGTCAGGAAGACTGTTTAGGAGTCCAGCAGCCCCAGACAACGGTGGGCCGGGTCAGGGGTGGGGTGGGGAGCAGATTCCTCCCTAGGGAGGAGACCCACTCGACGGGCCGGAGCTGCTCGGAACCATCCTTTTAAGGAGTTCCTTCTCTACCCGGGGGGGCCTCCCTCCGCCCCGGCGAAAGACGAAGGCCCAGAGGCGGATGGGCGCTCCGTCCTGAACCTTCCTCGGCCCGGCGCCCCTTCCCCGCGGGGTCGCCCCTCATTTTTGGCCTCTGGACGTGGGAAGGACGAGAGATATTCGCAGCCTAACCCCCCCCCCGCAACCCTTCACCCCAGAACCACTCCGGCCTCAGCCTCTCGTCGCCCGGAAGAAAGAAAGGCTACCTGGAGGCTGCATTCCCGGCCCTGGAGCGCCTTCACCGTAAGCAGCATCTCGGGACCCCGCCGCTTTGAAAGCCTAGCGGCCCCTTTAAGTAAACCATAGACACTGGGAGGGACAGTCACGGGCAGAGCGCCCCACGAAGGGGTGGAGGTTAAGTAGGCGACAAAAAGCCCCAGCTGTTTCCCATCTCTGTAAGATCAGCGCATCTATCATAGAGGCAAAGCGGGCTAGAGTGGCGGAACTTGTTCCTGGGGTCAGAACGGAAAACACCATAGAGCTATTCATGAGAGGATTATTTACGTCATAGCAAGTCTACGGGCGCATAGATTGTGGTCATATGACTGAAATGGTTATAGAGCGGCAGCGGGTTGAGAGTACCTGTTACATTCCTATATAGACAGAGGAAACAGGGTGAAAGTTTGTTTAGAAAATGAGAACGAAATTGGGCGGAGCATCATAAAATAACTTCTCTACTTAGGGGCTGCAGCCCCAGTGATGTTGGAGTAAAATTTCCGATTCTAGATTGCAGAGCTTAAAATTTCCCTCGTGGGGAGTAGAAACACTAGGAATCACTAGAAATCAATGTATAATAAATTATATAAAACTTGCAGGATGAAGAGCTGTTATTGGTTTATTTTATTTGATATAAATGGTCACGTCCTCTTTCCAAAAATATATAAAAGGCGTTGAACAGATTTTTGCTTTCTTGTTTTCCACCCCTGCTTCCAAGATTGCTGTTTTGAATGATAGGCAAGAATTCACTAACAATTGTTCATTATTTTCTGCCTCTTGTGGAATTAAGACAAGAAGGGAAGCTAGATTTTTGCTCTCTGCCTTGTTTAAAAATGCAAATATTTTTTCCCCATCTTGAACCCCAATGGTGTTTGTATTAAGTTCACACAACTTTACTGTGGCTAATTGAGGAATTGTTTTTGTGGGGGGTTTTGTTTTTTGTTTTTGTTTTTTCCACAGCTGGGCACTTGACTAGGGCATACAGCAGAAACGTGAACCTTGACAATCAGTTGTACTTAGCTATGGCAAGTTACTCAAATCATATAGAACAGCAGTCCCCAACCTATTTGGGACAGTGGACTGGTTGGGGGGGGGATGCAGGCTCCGTGGGGGGAGCGTGTGAGTGCAATATGCCCCTCCACAAGCGTGACATGCCCACCATGCATGCGTACAGGGGGGCAGATATCCGTGTCCGCTGCCCAGTTCCAGGAAGCGTTGGGGGGGGCAGGCTCCATGGGGGGCACCCCCAAGCTCGCAGGGGGTCGTGCTGCTCTTGCGGAGGAGCGTGTGAATGCAATATGCCCCTCCACAAGTGCGACACGCCCACCATGCGTGCGTGCAGGGGGGCAGAGATCCGTGTCCGCTGCCCAGTTCCAGGAAGCCCACGGACCAGCACCGGGCTGCGGACTGGGTGTTGCTTGATCACTCATATGATTCTGGCCTAAGAAATTTAATGCTCCTTTACCTTCTACGAGTTGGAGAGCATTTATACCCAGCAGAGAACTAGGCCTTCTAGGTCAGCGCTTCTTAACCTTGGGTTTCTCAGGTGTTTTTAAACTGCAACTCCCAGAAATCCCAGCCAGCACAGCTGGTGGTGAAGGCTTCTGGGGAGTTGCAGTCCAAATACACCTGAGTAACCCAAGGTTAAGAACCACTGTTCTAGGTAATTCCAAGCTCCTCTTGGTTTTTCCCCAGCCTAGCCTGAAGATGCCAAGACTGTTTTTGGTTGACGTCAATCAGTTGCCTCCGGAAAATCCATAAGCAAGATGTGAAAGCAGTAACCTCCTCCCACTGTTGTTCTCCACCAAGTGATGTTGAGCGTCATACTCATTCACAACACATCAGAAAATATATACAGTATAGCTGTCCTGTGAGAAGTAGGCCTTACCATCAGAGAAATAAAGCCATTTTTCTGACAACTTTTGGTAATCCTAATTAATACTAATTACTATGTGCTGTTAAGTCAATTCTGATTTATGGAACCCCTCCCAGGTTTTGCAGGTAGTGGTACACCAGTCCCTCCTTCTGGTGGTGGTCGCGACAGTGCAGCTTTTCCAAGGCCGCATAAGTGGCAGGACACAAAGCCCCATTGGCCATCTCACTCTGGGTAATCTTAGGTAGCCTCTATCCCAGGAGGTCCAATAGGGGTTTGAATTATTGACCCAATGTGCTCCAACCTACTGTGCGAGACCAGCTCTACTTCAGACCCACTGAAATTAATGGTGACTTAATGTAACTGGAGCTGGTATCGTGCAGTGGGTTGGAGTGCCTGGTTACAGAGCGATGGACTGGGAGTTCGAATCCCCACTATGCCTCCTAGGAGAGGGGCAAGGTGAGATTACCCAGAGTGTATACGGTTTATGGGATTACATACTCTGCCTTGGGCAAGCTGCACAATCCCAGAGCATTATCAGAAAAAAGGTCTGCAAACCATCTCAGAAGACTTCATTTGTTGAAAGCCCTAAGAGTTTCCCATGAAAAAATTGTTTTGACAGCAAATTATTATTTAATTGGGTCTTTTTGCTCCTTCATTGACCCTATATAAAGGTTTTAATTTTCTTAAACTTCTAATAAAGTGTTTCTCAGCTACATTATGCATACCCTTGGTGGGACACAGAAGTTACTCTCCCCACCCCATAATCCCCATGTCCTTCTGCAAGCACGACAGTTCCCTACTGACCCTGCCTGCCACGGATTGATTGTCCACCAACAACCTTCTCCCATGCTGAAAGTTAATGGTGGGTGTTGTGTTTCTCCTAATCTCCTGTTCCTATCAACTTAAATAACTTAAGGCAATAACTGAACACTGGTAAATATATGCATTCTCCTTGGGGAAAAGTAGCTTTTTGTTTCCTTCATACACTGTCAGGTTCTTTGATCAAATGAGCTGGTGGGACTGAAGATTGAAAAGGTTGTGAACCACAGTTCTAATGCATATTGTTGTTTTAGTTGTTCTTCTGTAATTAGGCCAAGAATCTTAAACGTAGATCAACCTAACAGAGAGATGCTACTGTTGCAACGGTTACATGGCCACCAAATCTTTAACTTAACTTTGCCCATGCTGTCAAGTGGCAGAAGCACATTTCTTCCGAGGACATGCTAAGGAACAACTACAACACTGTACCCATGACAGGGATGGGCTCAGTGTGGCCAGACGGATATTACTAGTTTGCAACTCTCATCAGCCCTAGCCAGGTGAAGATGAGGAATACTAGGAGTCCCAGTCCAGCAGACGGAATGGCACTATGTGCCCTATGCTCCATATATACAAAGGGAAAATACACCCAGGTCAATAAGAACCTTTCCCCTTGTTACATGCTGAAGGATGCCACAATATCCACCCCTACTATAAAAGCCCATATGTCACAGCTGTTGTGAGGCCTCTTGCATCATGCCCAGCTCAGGAGGAGAAGGCACAGAATACAGCATCCATGTCAATCATGTGATTAGACGCTCTACAGCCCTCTCTAGGACAAGGGGTCAGGGCCCACCAAGGATCAGCAGAGATCAGGGGAGAATCAAGATAGGCAGCAAGGAGAGTTATCATCATCATATTTGCTGCAACACCCAGGGGCTTTCTGTCTAGGTAGGGCACAGGAAGAGACACTGGAGACCAGAATCTGAACCCCACTCAGTGACATAAGAGAAGGAAGGAATATCATAGGTATGAGAGGAGGAGGCCCCCAGGCCTCAAAGCCATACTGCAAACACCCCAGAGAAGCTCCCCACCCAGTCAGCCACAACAGGTACTAGACAGCTTCAATGCCTAGCCTTTTTAGCTAGCATCTCATGGAATGCAAATCCCCTGGATTTGAATTCAAGGCCCAATGTCAGCGAAGGAAAGATGAAGAAAGGCAGTCATGGTTAGCAAGAACCATGGGTCAGCTGGCCCTTTTGGTCCTTGCCCTGGGTAGCCCATGTGGCCAATTGCCCATCTACCCCTGCATATCACTAGGAGGGGATTTCTGGTTACCAATAAGACAATAATTTAAAGACAGCCTTTATTGCACAGTACTAGGGAGAGAGGGAGCAGATCCCAAAGTTGAAGAATTGAAGTCTGGGTTTGTGAACCGGTTACTATGGCAGAGCTTTTTTTTTTTAAGATAGTTGGTTAATGAACTGCAGAGGAGTAAGGTTAGTACTTTTTTTTTAACTGAATGAAAGGCGGGATAGAAATATAACAAATTTAGAGCAGTGTAGATAAATCCCATATCTGCTCTAGTAGGTGTTGTAAATGTTCTTGGTGGCATATTTATTTTTCAGGCCAATTGATCTCCAAAGGTCAATCCAGTGAGCTACCTGGTTGAGTGAGATTCCAACTCAGCAGTCCAAACCTAGTCAATCGACTACACCAAGCTAATAAACACAGGGATTAAACCAGAAGGAGGCAGGAGGAATGGGATTTGATCAGCTGCACTCTTCTTACAATTAATGATGCCCCCCCCCCCGAGGATATTGCCACAGATGCGTGCCAGAAAGACCAGGAAGGGTGAGATAGGCTAGGATGCATTGCAGGGGGAAAAAGTCTACTTTAGTGTGATGAAATGTAACCGCCTGCTACAGTCAGGCCCCTCTTTGTTAGGCTAAACTAATTTAGCATTCAGTATGACTCCAGGGATGTGGTGGCGCTGTGGGTCAAAGTGCAGAAGCCTCTGTGCTGCAAGGTCAGAAGACCAGCCATCATAAGATTGAATCCACGCCACAGAGTAAACTCCTGTCGCTTGTCCCAGCCCCCGCCAACCTAGAAGTTCAAAAGCATGCAAATGCGAGTAAATAAATAGGTACCACCACAGTGGGACGGTAACGGCATTCTGTGTCTACGCTGGCTCTACATATTGGAGACGGGGATGAGCACTGCCCCCTAGAGTCGAACACGACTGGACTAAATGTCAAGGGCAACCTTTACCTTTACCTATGGCTCCAATACCAATAAATGGAAAATGCATAGAAATCTCTGTGCTAGAAGAGTGTGGTTGCACAATTGAAAGGCAGCACTGCACCCAATATAGCCAAAATCCTATCAGTTCTGCCCACCGGTGCAAGGCAATTGGCATTAATCCTAACGGTAAACTGCCATGGGTTAATAAGTTAGTACAGGCATTTACTGCTGTGCTCTGAGTTGTGCAGGTCAGTGCGCAACAGCAAATGCCCAAATCTAATTCCTTGTGATAATTTGCCATCAAAAAAAGTTATGCTGATCCTGGTACATTGATTTTAAAAAAATA